AGCAAAATCGTATCGGAGTGTCTAACGCAGCCAAAGCCTTTCGTGACTCTCAGTTCGACTTCAGCTACTCATCAACAGCACAAGAAAGAAAAGTCAATGTCGATTTACCCTTATTTCGGTAATAGGTGTAAGATTTACTTCCACGCCGTGCCGAGACATGTGAGGCTACAACTCCAAAGGACTCAAATTGCAGCTAAGTAACTCTAATACGTATTAGTTACAGGCAATACTCTACGCGAACATCACTTGATATGGTTATAACCAGCTTTAAAGTTTCCCTCGAGCCTCCTTGATTTCATTAAGCATAACTATAATAGTACAAAGGAGGAACTTGTCTGCCAACTATAATAATTCAGAGCTAGGATTTCAATTCCAAAGTTTCAGAGAATATAAGACATTGCATAATTAGCATTTGGAAGAATGGCTTATCGATCGATGATCTATATGCATAGTGCTTCAATCGTAGATTTCCGTTTACTTCTCTGTCTCTTGTCATCTCAAAAAGAACTCATTTACGCATGCTAACTCATTTTTTATCATTTATGAGCTACCAAGTCGATATACTCAGCAGAGAATTGTCAACGAGAAAACCTAAAATCATCTTTACCTGAGTGTCGTAAAAGTGCTATAAAAAAGCGACGGCATCAAAAGATTTCAAATCATCTTTCTCCAACTTCGCAATCCCGGAAAATGACAGTGAAAAAAGAGCAAGAGCAAGGTTCTCCTCGATTGACTCTCTATGAAGTTACTTTTGCCGTAAAAGACGAGGCCTCCAAATTGTTCCTAATCATCCCTCGAATGTCATTCCGAAAGACCGTGTGGAATATTCAACAAAACACTAAGCCTCAAATCGTTGCACTCAATAGCTCTCCTCACCGGGAATGATTCAAACCATACCCTTAACTAAGCAATCTTTATATATAACACCCTACCCTTTTGATTTAACAGTGAACTGGTTTAAATCTATATTTTATAATTATGTTTTGCATGCGCTTCACAGCTTGTCAAACGCGTAATTATAGTGCAAGACAGTAAGATTGAATATGCGACCAACTAAGGAAGTAGTATGACCCTCCACATCACCTCAGAAGCTTGTCAGCGTATAGATCAACCCTACATCAATTAGAACGCATCAGACAGTAACTGGGTCCAGTGCTCGAGCTACACAACAAGAAATAGAAAATCGTTATTTTCTCTGTAAATTCATTAACTTGAAATATAGTTGGCTGTTGCCAAATGCGATGTGGAGGAAATACACTAGTATAATAAGTGTACTGTGCAAAACTTTTACTTCACATGTGCGTCGAAAACGATACTAGTCAAACCGAAACTGTAACTACTCGAACCACTCAGCCCGACTTGATTAAGAATCCGAGTTTCAAATAAATAACAATGCAAAGGCTCATGTGATAATGCGCGCTTGTTTCAAGCAGTTAAAAGTAAATTGACCAATTTGATCAATAAAAGAACTTCAAAATTGAGAATTTAATGAGGACAGCCTCCAATCGCCCCATTTGAATAACATAGCCTTTAATTATTTTAGTCCGATTCTGACCTCAATTTTATTTTATTGGCATGTCGAATGCAAAACTTGTCACAGAAATATAGTGAGAAGGAATCTACAAATCCCACGACTCTTATTATTATGTATATAGGTATATGCGAGGCTTCATTGGAGTTTAGCGTTTGTTCTTCGAGAGGCAGGAAATATATGGAGAAATATTTTTGCTTTGCCACCACAATGGATCGGTAGATAATTTGAGCTTAGCAAAAATTCGTTTAGGCCTTCACTATCAACAATTCCATACTCTAACTGAAATAAGAATGTACCCGTCTAGTTATTTTCCTTTACCTCAAAGCTGATAGGGTGCGTCCTAAGATTTAAGCATATAAAAGGAGGCTCAAGTTAAATAGACCCCCACTAGCGTGTGCTAATATGTACATAGATTTGGAATATCACTCAATATATTTAGTGCTTCGGAGAAATTCTGGTTTATTACTCTGGCTAAGGGTATTCTCACTTCCCCACCAATATACGTCGCTCCTCATCATTCTAAAAGCCACCTACCAATTTGTTTGACCATGATTAACAAGACATAAAAAAGAAAAGAGCTCATCGATAATCCGCCTCCTTCTTTTCCCACGAGTAGTTATGATCCTGTGGAATTGTATCCCAAACGAAGAGCAACTAAACTATAAAATGCGAGAATAAGCTCATCCGGATATAAGTCTAAAGTGTCAAAAAAAAATCGCCCAAAACCCCAAAACCTCGCCAGACAGCCACTCACACACAAAAGAAAGCAGATATATTGGTATAAAGGGTGTTTGCCAACATTAAGAAACAAGTATTAAAAATTATGTGACAACATAAAGGAAAACAATAAAATCATATTACACATAGGCGCAATGACAACATTTCAGGCCGAATGTTAGAAATAACTTATAAAATGTGGACACATTAACGATCTACATGTGTTTAATAAATTAATATAGATCATAATTAATTGAAAAATGTGTGATATAGAAGTTCCCAATTTTATAACGCATGCCTTTTCAAATGTCATGTAATAGAAAATTGAGAATCTCATTTGAGAGAATAGAATTTACATCTGATTCTTCACATATTCCTCCCGAATTAGAAGTTATCTACAAGTTGCTGCTCTTATGAAAACAACACAAATTTGTCAATCTTCCTAAAAGATCTCCTCTCATTTTTTCACTTTATATTTCGAACATATATATTTAACACAGGAATTTATGTTAAAATAATAATTATATACTCTCACCATATCTACATTTCTTAATTTAATTTAGTATATTTAATTAAGAATAATGAAATATCTATTCAGTATTCACCTTTCATTTATTAATTCAAAGTCATGAAGAATAATATAATAATATTAATGATTACATTAATAGAAAAAAGAAGATTGCGTGCAAAAATAATGCAAATAGAATTAGACACACAAGTAGATCTAAAATTTACCATCAAACCGATATATGCTAAAACTATAAAGCTCTTAAATGACTTTTGAAAATTTTAAAGTCATTATTTAATATATTTATAAATAATATATGGATGTGACTTCAATATATTTATTTTAATACTCTGACTAAATAAGTCAAAAAAGAGACATATAAAAATTAAATATATGAAAAATATACCTATAACTGAAAATAAAATAGGCTTCAAATTATTCAAAAAAATTGACTCCGTGAGATGTCAACACAACCAATAAGCATTAAAAATTAGTATAAAAGCCGATATCCTATGATTTAATTATGCAGTATAGAAAAT